GTTATATTTAGTAACTTCTACGGAGTTAAGTGTGCGAGCGAAGTGGGCCACAAAATATTTTTAGTGGCCGAGGGTTAGAGCCCTAGACCACTGATTAATTTGCGGCCACACGACGTGCGGCATTTCACTTTCAATTCTTTAAAACCATTCAACCGTGTTAAATATCCTTCAGTCAGGCAAAATAATCAATATTCGAACATCTGTTCACTGCGAATGCGTAATTAATAAATAATCATCATTACCAGGGAAATATGAGTGGAACTATTACATCCTACATGCTGAAATCCTTCTACAGAGAATAAATCTGTATACCTATTTCTAACCGCAGAGTTGGATCGTAGGATAGATTTAATAATAAATGAGGGCTCTGCAAAATGTGGTTTTAGACCACTCTAGTAGAGTCATGAGTAAACTTAACTCGACCAATTTAAAATCTTGATAGACCACTTAGACAATTACCTTATTTCCGCCCATGAATTACACTGGTAAACATGTTGGAGCTACCCGGTATATCCAGATATGCACTTGATCCACATTGTTTGGTAGATATAAAAAAGGGCTCTAATTTGAGAGCTGGAGTTAGAAAATACATGAAATATTCAGCAAGACATGTAATGCACGTGGTAATGCAACCGTGTAACTACGAGCGGCATATTTCAGAGCTAATCATGATTGTTTGTACCAGCAACCATCGCTGTAATACTTCTTCTGTGAACCACTAATTTAAGCTGTAATTTTACAAAAATCTTCAGTCAACAAACATTATTTAATGTTCACATAATATGGCATTACCAACATAGCAGCTTGCACCAAACATTACTGTATATATCGCAAGGAAGCACATAATTACATAATATTGTGTGATGGTTGAGATCGATTGTTATTACAGCTAAATTTATCATAATATTTTGATAGTGTGAAAACATACGCCATACATTTTTTAAATGAGGCAGTTTCTGAACTTTAACGGTCACCATGGACTGTTATTGTTAACACTTAGGGGCAATTCCACGGTAAGGTTCCACTTGGTGAAAATGAAAAATGTTAAGATAGGCACCTAATTTTGGTTAAAATATGTTCATTAGACTCTTAACCTTACAGGTCAACAAAAGTTTTTTGTTTCATATTGCATTAACTTTTGATTTTTCTCATTCAAAGGAACACTACTCGGAAATGGACATCTTCAACAAGACGTTGTCTCACGTTTTGACTGCCACATGCTCGAATTTTGACTGCCAAACCATGTGATAGTTATTACTCGGCCAATTTTAAACCAATTACCACAAAAATTTGTAGTTTGGTCAACAAGGATACAATAATCACTCATTCATCAACATGAAACAGCTGAATTTGTTATTTGTACACTTTATGATAAGAATATCACAGGGAAACTTGTTTATGGCTGTGTAAAATCGAATTTACATGATTTGAGAGAGTTATCGTGATAGATGTGACCATCAAACCTTTCTGAAGCATGTGGGTGTTATATGTACCGCGATTAATGGTTAAATATACGAAATATGGTACGATTATCACACATCACTTAGGGTAGGCTATAATGACAACCAGTGGGGACTATTTTGATGTTTTGAATGCTATTCAAGGTGCTTTAGGCTGTAAAATAATGTTGTAATGATTGACATTCAATAAATGACCTGTAAATGATACAAATATCACATTAAACTCAATATTTTTCACGAATCAATGTCAATAATGTGTGAATGTTGTTTTTGAAGATCAATTCATCCAATATTATTAAACATAGTCAATAAGTAATAGGCATTTCATTAAATAAGCACTTTTCAGATACAAATATCACTTGATTAAAAAAAATTTAAAAAAATAAAAAATTATTTAAATTGAAATTGTGATATTCGTATCCTATTTTGGTTCCTAGATGTGCTGTGTAAGATGTTCAGGGAGTAATAATGTTTATTGTACATGTATCAAAAAGAATCTCGTTCTATAGACCCATATTGATACATTTATCACGAATGTTACACTTGTAAAATTTGGTTCACAAAAAATGTGATATTTGTATCCTTCAAGTGGTTGGAACAATTTTTCATCCTTGTATCCATACTGAGTTACCATTTTTGTAGGTGTGAATGAAGTTTCATCTTTATTAATGAATTATGTACCCTTCAAACAGCCACCCAGAGAACTGGACCCGAAAATAGCTATATTTCGTTGTTTTAAAATACAATGTGATAATTGTAGTACATCTAACGGGAGGTTGATTTTTGTATCACACTTTTCACTAATTCTGTTTGGAATTGCCTCTGGTACAGTTTGAGTTCAAAGAAACAGAAAAAAGAGGTCAAGGGGATTCAATAATCACATCATAAAATGGACAATTTTGAAACGAAAATGTGTGATATTTGTATCATAATGAGCCTAAATAACGATTTCCTTTGGTACACTGCTTCCTTAGGAGACAGGCATCATGTTACGAAATTTTCATAAAAAACTGATAACATTCGGTCTCTCCAGACCCATTTGTATCATTATCACATCTCAGAAAATGTGATATTTGTATCATTGGACTTTAACGTGGTCTAGCTCTGTCAATTTATGTGATAGCATGATTTTGATTTCATAGTCATAAAGCTATTAAGATTCTGCAACCAATCAATCGAGTCTATCATAGCCAATAGACTATATAAGACTCTAAAAATCAATTTAGAAAAAGTCAAAACGTGAGACAACGTCTTGTTGAAGGTGTCCAAATGAAAAAAATCATTCAAATTTTCAAAGGGCCATAGTTTGGGTATGCAGGAATATTTCTCTATGAAATTCCATACACTTAAGCATAGGCATAAGAATGAGAGCCATGCAAAGTTTCAAAACCGTTACTCAAATAATTTTTCTAAAAAATTTCCACAAAGATGGTGTCACGTCCGTCACAAAATTAAGCAAAAAAGTTTTTTCAGAGCCACATAGTGCTATTTATATTCAAAAAACCACTGTAACCTATCTCTTCTGAAGGTAAGGGAGTACCGTAGAAATTATCAGGCTTGTATCTTTTAAGAAAAAATTTTTGGAAGGGGGGTCCCAACTTGTAGCGTCCGTCACATTTTTTTGAAAATGCTCCAAAAAATCTTTTAACAGACTTTAAATGCATTTTTGTTAAAGCTGAGACCGTTCTTAACAAAACGATGTTGTCAAATCGAAAATTGGACAGAAAATGACTTAGTTATGTATAATTTTGTATATGCCCATATATGGGCGTACGGCTCACTTTTAGCCATTTTTATCCATATTTCCATTATTTTGACTAAAACCAAGACAAATTGAAGTCAAATAAGGTTTGACTATGTTGACTAGACTATCAAATAACATCATATGCAATTCAATAATTAAATTTACTGAGTTTTGCCATTTTATTTGCCTTAACCTTTTTTAGGGGTAAAAGGCACAAAAAATGGACTTTACCCTATTTTCGCATATTTTTGAAGTAAAAATTCAATATCTTCCACATTTTAAACACTAAAGTAATGAAACTTTTGGGAGATGGTCTCAACAGTGTGATGTGTTGAACAGAGATGAATGTTTTACCAGAGTTATAAATTTGTTCAAGAAGAGAAATAATTGCTGCCCTTAGATTGATACCCTCGCGTATGCCCAAAATGGACGATTTTGGCTATTGCAGACCTCGTGGAAGTACTAGCGGCCTAAAAATTGGCATAAATATAGAATGAAGGTCACTGAACAAGATAAAAGTGTCAAATAGAAGATTTGGAGAAATTGAAAAAAAACGTGTGTCCGTCACAGTCACGTCCGTCACAATTTGAAAATGGCGCCACGCAAACAAAAACTGAGCAATCTCCAAAAAAATGGTATCTCAGAAATCCCTAAACCTTTTTCTATCACTGCATGTCCAAATTAGAGATAATAGATAACATTTTGAGATAGATTTGGGTACTTTCTGAGTAGACACCCAAAAAAAGTGTCATATTTAAGTCGTGTCCGTCACAGGGGTGCTATCTCAGAAAGTAATAATGGTAGGGGTCTGAAATTTTCACACAACCTATAGAAAGGTTAAATGTGGACTAATAAATAGTTTAAGCTGATAAAGAAGCAACATCCTGAGCACAACATTCGTTTGAACTTTAAAAAATGGCATAATCGTGGTGTCCGTCACGGTGGAATTGCCCTTAGATGTATTTTTCTCGAAAATGTCGGAAAATGTAGTCTATTTTAGTAGCCTTTCAAAACACTTATCTTTTTGTCACCCTAAAATATACACTCAAGTGTGACCCAGCTCACCTAAATACAAATCTTGATCCTCAACCAAAAGTGGCCTCATTCCTGGTCATTGCAAAAAGCTACATTCAACATAATACTACTACTACATCTTCTGATCACTTAAAGCTTAAAATAAGACAATACTCTGAAAGTTTACCTATACTCTGTATAATAATCGCAGTGGAGAGTGGAGAATACTTATAATCACAACTAAAATCTGTAATATGATATTGGTTACCTGGGCTTCCCTTAGTCTCATATCTTTATACAAAAATTACATAAATATTAGACGAGATGGGATACTTAGAGATTACTGAGTCACAAACTGCAGTGCACATGGATCATTTTATTGTGAATTGCGCAATGTATTATGATATTATGGCTACTAATAAATAATTATTATGTTGGGTGTTTAATATACACTGTTTAACCATCCAAAGGTTTAAAGTTCAAAGAGCGGTCATGTGGCTCTTGGAAATTTGGTAATTATTTACAAGGTATATAATCGGCCGGTAAATCTTATTTGTGGTGCGCTTCTTTGTAAACTATGAATTCATTTCCAATTCATCTCTACCATTATCCAGAATAATATCTCTATCATTATCCAGAATAATTTAGTTTAGAATACAAAAGTTGTGTGACTGAATAGTAACGCATAGTAAGTATGCATCGAGTCTCAAGTTACGCATAAGCAAAGTAAGTTAACCGCAATAGTATAATCGTTGCAAAAAAGAACATTGGAAACCACATACCATCATGTCGTCCTCGAGCTCCTGTATTTTTTCCTCAACAGAACAGGGGATATTGTAGGCTTGTCCCTCAAGTTCAGGCAGCAGCTTGTACCACCCGGAAACTCCACCAGCTACAACGTCCTCCTGGGAGAGAGAGGTCATCATACCACGTGATCTGTGTTTCTCTTATCAGTTATCAACATAGCTTAAAACGTATAATACAATAAGTAATAAGTATGATAATCGACAGTGACACTGCCATTTCCTGGCGCTATGTTTTTTAGAAAAAGCTCATGATTTAACAGCCAAAAATATTGACCCATGGGAATATGTGCACATCAAATAAGAACAATAGGCAACAAATAACCCCATCAGTCACCACATTTAAATTATGTATATTGAATTTATGCAGTTAAATTACATTAAATTTATGCACTTAAATTACATGAATAACATAATAATACATAAATTTAGTACTGCTAATAAAGATATTAGTTAAGGTTATTGAGTTGAGAGATTGTCCGGCAACATGAAAGGCTTCTTATTTAAAATCATCCAATCAGCCAAAATACCGGTTTCTATTTGCCAGGATAACATGGAGTCTAGAAGATTTAGATGATCTTCCAATTATGGCTTGACAGAGCTGAGCTCGCGTCTTCTTAGTGGTCTACATTCCAAATCTTAATTTCATTCTAAATCTTTTGTCTGTAATGAGATGATTTGATGAGAACCTACAATTATCTCAGTATTTATTTATTTATAAACCTCCTCTCCGTATCATGATTGGACCGAGTAAATTCTACGTAAATTTGATCATAAATTGTCTTTAGGGTCAATACTTAAGAATCGCGTTAACTAAAATAATTTCCACCAATAATGAACGTTGTACATCTAAAATTAGTGAACAAATTAAGTCCTTATTATGAGGCTATGTCAGACATAGAAATAATCAAACCTCTTCAGCTACTAAGCAACTGAGGGTAAGTAGATTGTACACCTATTTACATGTTACACTACTCTTTCAGAATAAAGGTTCCTATTGTTACAATTACTACTGGTTATTGAAGCAAACTTAATCTCTAAAACTGGTGAGCTAAGTTCCATAATTCCTTAATACACGCCCACGTGGTAGCGCACTACCTTATCACCATGGTAACCACTAACCATGTTTCACTATCATGTGTTATTATTTAGCCTGCCTACCACGCCAGGTAGGTCCCAGGGGTATTGGTAATTGGATAACAGAATAATAAGCTTAATAAAGAGTAACATGTAATAACACTTGTAGTAATGACATTAGTGATGTGTGGTCTAGAGGAGGAGAGGGTACTACATTCCTACATAATATTATTATACAGTACAGAGACATGAGGAAGGTACTGCCATGTTCGTATCAGCTGAAATTGTACATTTCCGGGATATAGTGATTATATTGATGATGCCCCTTCAGTGTTCAATGCTCAGATTGACAAAGAGTTGGCATTGTGCCAACTTGGCAAATAACTTGGTAACTGGCATGTACCGTGATCAACCTCGCCTTTTTCCTTTCTCATTATAATTTCCGCAGTAATTCAGGATGGATAATGATTACCAGGCTAGGGTTCATCAACAATTGGACATGTGAGGGGGAGTTTAATGTTCATTAGCCTTACCACCAGCTAGGTTCTCAGTACCAACACACCAGACAAGACTCATGAGTTAGCAGTGGAAATGTCAAGTAAGCAAGCACACGGTCCATTTTTGTAAAGTACAGCTAATATTTACCTTGATACTGAAGCTCATACATCCCATGAAATCATTTCTGGAGGCCCTGTCCCAGTCCCAAACCTCAAGTAGTATTCTCTTATCGTTCACTAGAGATACACCGTGACTGAAATAAGACGTGTTAATGATCAAATCTTCTACTGAAACTAATAAAACTGGGTCGAGTACAATTGTTTACGAAAATCATAATATTACTATACATCTTTCCAATTACACTTCGTATTTCATTTTTAACTATAATATAGCTAATGACTATTTGGCACGAGGCCAGGAAATACCTGCAGCTCGCACTGTGATTCTGTAAATGTAGTAGAAACTATCAGGGTATTTAAATGTAAATATGCGACCCTCCTAATTATTCAAAAGTTCCCGCGCAATTTTAAATGGCTGGAAACACAGCGTTAGTTTGGGGCGCCGGTTTAGCTAGAAGAAGTATGCAATATAAATATAATTAATAAATGGAAAATGCGACTCGTGTAGTTTTATGCATCTATTTGACCATTCAGTCAAGGGAACATTTAATAGTACTATAAATATGTAAGATTTCTAAGTTATTTGTCATCTGGTATTCAGAATGCCGATATTTTACAACTTAGTAGTGTTTAAATAACGTGTCATAGTGTTAAAGTGTTAAATAAGTGTTAAATATTGTAGTGTTGAGAGTATTAAATAGTTAAACACTTCTAGCTTGCATTTTGGACAGATCAGAAGCACTAGAGCATTGGACTGATTTGTTTTATGATTTTAACAGTATTTAATTTAACACGATCTTAACTCGCACTATCACCGATAGCTAAACAGATCTTCAATATGTGAATGTGAATTGTGAAAATTACTGACTCTCATATTTATAAACTCAAGTACCTTAAAAAGAGATCACTTAAAAATAATTGACGAAGGAAAAATTGACAATTTAATCTTTAATGAATTATTGATATTAATGTGAAATAAGGTGGTCTATAATAGTTTGATAAAAGAATTTAACGCTGCTACTAAACTACTAAGTGCTAGCTGACAGTTCCATCTACGTATCCTCTAAAAGAATATAACATCTAGAAAATTTGGGATAAAATTTATTTGAAATACATTTTCAATAAGATACCTTTTAAGATAACTTTAGATACCTTCTATACATCACCACCCACGTATAAACAAACCCACTTTACACAACACAGTCATGACCTAACGTTCACACTTCTCATTGATTTTTAAATTTACTTCCTCGTATCATTTACCTGGAATTTTTTAACACAATTACACGCATTCCTTATAATTTACATCACAACGTGTATTTTGCTCGGGGGCGATTACATCACCCTATTTAACTTTATACCTTTATAACTTTATATAACTTAGCGTTTTATGGAATTGACGCTGAGTATTTCACTGGTTTTAAAGTTATAATCGGTACAAGATGTTGAAGCGGAAAAAGTCAAAGTGTCTGCCAATAAATACTACCATGACTCAGTAATAATACCTCTTAACAATTTAACACATAGTTACAAAATATATCTTACATTCTGCTATTAAAAAAGCACTGTTATGTATGGATATCATGGCGTTCTCAGTCGTACCATAAATTCCAGGTATCCGTGGTTACAAAATAAATATATTAAAGTTCTATAATTGATTAATCATTCTAATTATTTCAGTAATTGATTAATATAACATCCACTTTAATAACTCACTAACCAGTTACTAACCAGTTACTAACCAGTTACTAACCAGTTACTAACCAGTTACTAACCAGTTACTAACCAGTTACTAACCAGTTACTAACCAGTTACTAACCAGTTACTAACCAGACACTAACCAGACACTAACCAGTTACTAACCAGTTACTAACCAGTTACTAACCAGTTACTAACCAGACATGAGTTTTTGAGTAAATGTAAGTGTTTAAGACGTAAAGGTGGTATTATATATCTTAAAGCCACTGAATGATATAAATATTATTCAGTTCTACTCTCACTGCTTACATACTGTCTAGATAACACCTGGAGCAACTATACAGGTTACAGACCCCCCTGAACAGTAGTGCAACTATGAGATATATTTGTGAAGGAGTAAGCGTATCAGCTTACTACGGTCGAGCGATGCCGACATGAGCCGTTAATTCTAACTTGGATTGATAGTTTGTGAACTCTCTTTTCTATCATGATATTATTTCTGAATAATTAAGCTATGGTGATATGATTGTTGTTAACATTAGTCGCCAAATGGCAAGTGACTTTGGATTTTAATTGTAATATACGTGTGTACTGTGTATCACTATCAACTATAATATAATATAGACGTTAGATATGTTATTATAATAAATATGTATAACATTCTGGTCGCCTGGAACAGGAGAATCTATCCTTTAGCCCATCATAATTAGGCAAATATACAGATACTGAGTTGTTACCAGCATTGAGGATAAGTACCAGCTGTGACGATCCTTCCAGGATTAGATACCTAACACGTACAGATAGCATGTTCAGCTGTTCATGTGTATGTTTGTTTGTTAGTTGTCATGTTTGTATGTATTCATTCATGTATGTTTGAACAGCTATGTTTTATCCATGTTTCATCTATGTATGTATGCCAGAGTGTTTTTACGTTTGAATGCGTGTCCACGTGTCTCCTAATGATATTAAAAACTCGATATCAATTAATACCACACAGGATAGCAAATTGTCCTAAACAAAGCTTTATATAATTACCCACAACTGGTACCCACTACCCAAGCTGTATTGACTTTCTCTAGATTGATTTCTGAATATAATGCATGGATATTGAATAAGAGTATTCCTTATGATTTGTTTCAAATAAGCAGGTAGTAAAGCATTTTCCTGATCTGAAGCTACTATTTCCATTGGAATCCTAATATACTTGTAATAGTATTCACAAGCATTCCACGTTGTATTTCCATGCATCAATGTACGCATGCATACTGCAGAGTGCATACCTTGCAAGTAGTACCTCTAATATTGGTCGAAAATCGTTAAAGTTAAAATATTCGACGAATTTCTTTCTTGAACAATCCCGTCATAAAATGTCATCAGATGAAATTTTCATCTTCTACAACAGGGAATCAGGTACAATCCCATCACATTTCTTCTTTCAACACAGCGAATCAAGTAGAACATCTCTCACACGTCGATTATAATCGTACGTTTCACTGCACCGAACCCGCGTCACCTCGTGACGTGTGACATGTCACACTTACGCAACTGTCGCAACACACAACATACTGATAATTCGCCAAAATTATACCATAATATTATGCTATAATTATATGCTACTAGAGACATGATAATACTCAGTACTTTTCATCTATTTTTATGACTCAGACATTCCTGCTATGTTTAGCAAGTAAAAGCGTGTGCAATCAACGACACTCTGACGTCACATGGGTAGGCGGACCGTTTAGCAGTGTTGCAATGACCCATTTTCAACTATTTTACGATTTCTAGAACTGACCACGATATTACAGTTAAGCGGCTGGTTATCAACAGGAAATTGAAAGAGTGGAGATATTTGGCACTGTTGTTGGGAGAGCTCATTATCCCAACACGATTGCTATTTATATAAAATATTAACTAAATATAAGAAATGAACTAAATGTGGGAAATGAACTGATAAAACTCACATGTTGAATTTTTCGTTCCACACAGGGTCCAGTGTCTTCTTGATGACGTTAGTTTTCTGTTTATACAGCTGGTCAGGATCTGGTATCAGCTTTATCTTCACGTATGGATCTGAGAACCCGTTAGCATCCATTGGGATCAGATTACGTCCTTGTTTAACTGCAAGGAAGGAGAATTTAGCAACAGAAGATAACGTTTGGAAAACAAATTACATAATCCCATTCTCCCATTGCCCCATGACGAATTATATTCCTTCAATTCTTGTTCCCTTGCCCTACCCTTGTGCAGTGTGCACTATGTCTATCTATTTCAACTAGTGTTAAATGTTCACTGCTGAAAGGTGGAAAAGTCCCCAGAAATTATCCACATATTATGAAGATTTTAGGTTCTAGAATAGAGAGTGGGAAATCGGGATTTCATACAAATGTGTGGAACATTCTTAATCCTGTAGACTTGGCAATTAATAAACGTTAATTTTGTAAAATTGTAGAATCTGGTAGGAATTCTTGACCGGTCACAAGGATTGGGAAAATTATTTAAATTCTTATTATTCAACTGCGACAACCAGGTCGTATCCGGGTGTCTTTATTCTTGAAGCACGGCATGTTTACTTCGTACAAGTGTTTTATCCGATTCTTCCAAAAACTTCATTATATTATATAATATAGAAAGCTGTGATCGCGCCTAAAGATATACCAAATCTAAAACCAGGAGGTCAGAGAGTATTGTTCAAATTTCTCGTAATTCAATAAGGTCGAGCCTTAAAAATTTCCGAATTCAAAACCAACGGCATTGTTTGGACAGTTTATCCCTTCTGTACAAAATAACGGTGCCTGGGAATTATATTAGTTATTCCTTGCCCATAGTTCTTGGGTTCAGACGAAATTTCAGATCTACTTCAAATTTTCCAACCATTGTTTCGTTTAGACTGATAAGGCTAAATCAGCGCTGCTGTGAATTATAATCTACGCTATAGTCTACTTTCACAATAGGGGCTGTGCGAACGTATTGTACAAATTAAGTATCTATTGTTTATTGTAGACACAACAAATTAGCATGTGTACAGAGTAGAGCATGTATGGAACAGGGCTGACTCAGTTCCTTGTTCAACTTTCCGGACAGCACAGAGCTGTTTGTGCACAATGATATACACACCTGTTGAACAAACACAATGAAATATTTTACACACTCCTTTGTAAATATCTGTAAACAAATATTGTGGACACACTCAATCACATCAGATCTCGTTAAATCTTAATATGAGTAGAATAACAAGAATTGCGCCCGTTGTTTCGTTTTGGCGGACGCTAGATTTCCATTTCACATTTACTATAAATTTAAGTATAACTATAAGCTCCAATCAGCTCACTTCAATCTTCATGATAATAATATTGATCAATTATGCATCAAATACGGGAAACACTTGAAATTCAGTTCAATTGCCGTAGAACTTAACTTGTATCTGTAATTCAAGAAATTATCAGCAAAGGTAAACTATACTCGTGTACACATCAATACACTACGCGTGCCACGTACAAATTGGGTGTATTACCTAATAGTAATATTATACATTACATGCATCATATACACAGTCGCACCGCGCATTCATAGATCACAGTATAACTATAAGCTCCAATCAGCTCACTTCAATCTTCATGATAATAATATTGATCAATTATGCATCAAATACGGGAAACACTTGAAATTCAGTTCAATTGCCGTAGAACTTAACTTGTATCTGTAATTCAAGAAATTATCAGCAAAGGTAAACTATACTCGTGTACACATCAATACACTACGCGTGCCACGTACAAATTGGGTGTATTACCTAATAGTAATATTATACATTACATGCATCATATACACAGTCGCGCCGCGCATTCATAGATCACAGGCTATCTATACATCACATCTCCGCAAGCAATCCTCGCGCGCGCCCAACTTTTTCGTTGCATGGTAACGAACGAACACACGACATATTTAAACCCACCTATCTCGTTCTCCAAAATCCACGTTTTTCTGCAAAAACCTCCATTCGTAACCTTTCACTATTGCCTTTTTTCAAAAGGGTGAAAAGGAAAAAATTGTCGTCCAACAAAAGAATTGGCTTATAAACAGGGCGATGTACTGACAGTGGCTGGGTACTCAGCCGAATTTGAGATCTCGTATTTCCCGCCCTAAAAAGCTAATGAGAAAAAGAATACCTGTGTGTTACTCAGACACTGTTTTCAACTGAGCCTTTTCAACTGAGCATTAGTTCTATTTTTGGAATCAAATTGGAGGTCATTAGCTTGAACAATGTTATCGACGCTAGGTGGGCAAAGGGTTTTCACGGTTTCAGGTTTCCAGTTCAACTAATATAATTTGAGCAAAATCTACATGTGACTGTCAGAACGGTCTAACAATTTACATATTATTTCAGCTTAGTCTTGGAACCATTGGGTCATTGTTGTGTAGTGAAAGTGATATAGCTGCTCGATGCATTGCTGGGAACAATGCCTTCTATAAGTTCACCAAGATCTGGTCTCAGCAGAATATCTCCGTTACCAGAAAGATAGCAGTATACGAAGCCCAAATTGTATCAATCATCATGTACAATTGCAGTAGTTGGTGTCCTACTGCAAAGTCCCTAGAAAAACTAGACATTTGCCATAGAAAACACCTTAGATCATTACTGAACATTTATTGGCCTCATGGAACAATATCCAATGCAAACTTATACCTAAGATGTAACTCAGTAAAGCTATCAGATCGTGTCCCTAAAGCAAGGTGGAAGCTCCTAGGTCATATCTTGCGTAGTGCTGATGACTCCCCCGCTGCATTAGCGTTAAAGTTTGCTGTCACAACAAACTGTAAAGGGCGCGTCGGTGCGCATCGTAAGAATTTGTTCAAGATTATTGTGAATGATTTGACCCGTAGAGGTTTAAAACTTAACTCTTTGAATGATCTTAATAAGCTTAAGATATTAGCCGATGATAGAGTTGCTTGGAGAAACAAATTTTCACTCTAGCTGTCTTGATCTGTACTGATCACCATTTTAGGATGACTTGATTTCTTTTAGGGGTTTTGAATATTTCAATGGTGTAAACAGTTTCTTAATAATAAGTCTTGGAACCTTTCTCCCTCTTGAATTATCAACCCCCCTAAACCTACTCTTGATATGAAGGGTCCACTCGTCCTTATCAGAGTCGTCATTAGCAATCGTCACCTCAAGTTCCATCCTCCCTCGCTTCTCCGTGTGATCAATACCACACAACATCGGGGTGTTCTTCTCGCAGTGGTGGTGCACTTTCATCTCGCATGCTGAAAAAAACAGAGTGTTAAGAAACAATTTAGAGACCATCATCGTCTTAGGGTATTTGTGTTTCTCTAATAAAATGGCAAATTGTGATTTGTGATGACCTAACTTCGCGCCTGAAGCAGTGTTATGACAAATTATGCGATGTCTACGTTGAGATTTACCGGTACAAAATAATTGAGTGCATGACATTTTGTAATTTAAAAGTGCCTACTAAGACACTGTTTAAGTGAATGTTGCAAGTGCAGTCATGGAGTTATGGAGTTTTTACAACAAGTTATTAAAATAGTTGTCACTATATATTATGTAAGTTGAAGAATGGAATCATATTCAACATAATATTGTAATAAGTATGTTTTAAATTCCTGAACAGCCGAAAGACAATGATAATGATGGGGAAGTGGTTTGTTTTGACACGTGTGCGCGGCTTTTACCGATATATGATCCTAATTTTAGTATCGGTTAACATTAGCCAGTAACTTGTGTACGAAGTTCAGTCCAGCGCAGTTCTTGCGAGGAGTGATTAGATTAAGTTAATCTCATCACAAATCCTCATTCATGATCGGTCTTAAGTGATTTTATCCACTCATTAGACCGTATTGAAAATAAGGAAGATTGAGAAATAATAGGATGATTTGATACTAAGTCACTAATACACGACCGGGTGTTACAGACAGCGTGTTATCTGAGCTGTGAGGAGAATTGTGGAGAATTATCTATCATCAAGTGGATTGTGCTGTCATGATATGCTTCTAGAAGTGTGGTTTTAGAAGTGTGGTCAGCCTTCTTCGCTACAATATTATTATAAATTAGCTCTAAATAATCTTGAATAAGTGAGATGATGCAAATTGTGTAGGAACGGGGACAGTGCAGTCTACAACAATAATAAACCTCACAGCAAGATGATGTATCCAGTCCAGCTGTGTTTATATCCCTCTCAATTTCTAGTATTAGTACACTATTGTCAAGTGTCTTACCTAGGGCAGGGCAGGTTAAACACTACAAATTATTTTTTAGACGATGCTCCTTAAAAAAGAGCAAAAGAGCAAAAGGATTACTCCTTAGCTTCATTTCAATGATTATATAGGGGTTGGAGACTCCACGTGTTGACTGTCTGGATATCTTACAACTAGACTAGTAGACTGATAGCTCTACACTGAAACGATAATAATATTCACACACTCTCTCTCTCTCTCTCTCTCTCTCACTCTCTCTCGCTCTCTCTCTCACTCTCTCTCTCTCTCTCTCTCTCTCTCTCTCTCTCTCTCTCTCTCTCTCTCTCTCTCTCTCTCTCTCTCTCTCTCTCTCTCTCTCTCTCTCTCTCTCTCTCTCTCTCTCTCTCTCTCTCTCTCTCTCTCTCTCTCTCTCTCTCTCTCTCTCTCTCTCTCTCTCTCTCTCTCTCTCTCTCTCTCTCTCTCTCTCTCTCTCTCTCTCTCTCTCTCTCTCTCTCTCTCTCTCACTCTCCAATAGTACGATCATTGGCAAACAATATACTAGTAGATTAGATACCACATAACAACAGCGTGGTAGTTGAAATTAGTACAGGGGTCAGGGACCTATCACCTATTATATTATTTCCATGTTTGGTTACTAAGGTAACACTACCATATATGGGCATATCACGGTACGTGATAGCAGATGGGATTAGAATGGTAGTAGAGGGCTATCATCGTGCAATTCACAGCGTATAGTGCTCATTAATATATGCCAACAATGGCTTCGTGACCAATTTACTGGGATGTAGTTACACATTATCATAGTACTGTTGATTAGTGATAACTAGGATCAAAGGAGAGAGATACATATCTCCGATATGGAAAGAGTGCTCAGCTTTTTGTGGAACAGTAGCGACGGCAACTTAAGGATCATGATGTTCAATTTCTCGAATAATCTTCTAATTATCCGGTTATATCTAGTGTATTATATGAATAGGGAAGAATTTACAAAATATGCCCGTTTAAACCTACTGGTTCAAAATCTTAAATCCCTAGACTTTTGATCCCTAAAAATGCTTCCGGAGCGCATTATATCTTATATTTGATACGTGATTGACCTGGTCCAAAACATTTCTCCTTGACGACAGACATCTGGTTATAGACCCTGGCGTGATGCCAATACCCTCTCTTCATCACATTCCCCTACTCGCTGCACATTCCATTTAACCAGGCCAGTGAATTTGTTTATACGCCATTAACACCTCCGTACTAGCTATTATGCAGTGTTGTATTGTTAACATCAGCACTACTCGTCACAGTTTACGCGTCTTCACATGTGAAATAAACCGGGAGTCCCTCAACTAAACTCTATTTATTGAACTAGAAAGAATATATTATAGTAACCAAGGTAATACTACCATATATGGGCATATGGGCATATCAAGTGCGATAGACTATCAGGCAACTGTCTTGGCTCCCTCATACACTCCGCCAATGAACATACAGCACGTAATTATACACATAATTATTTAATAATTATGAATATAATTATACATTATATAACATATACCGGGCGGTGCTAGTGTCAGTTTATCACGACCAGATAACACTCCCACCACTTCGCTCACCCCACTACTAGCACTCGATCGTCTCAGCAAATGAAATCCAGTGAGTTTCACCTAAAATAACCTTGCAGTAGGATGAACCACAGCTGATCTCACAAAACGAGTGGCTACTCTAATAACGCTCATGCAGATGATGGGCCGGACAGTGCTGGTAGGCGGGTAATGGGCTGTAACTAGTGGTGGACTGGCAGTGAAGGGCACATTCTGACGCACAAACTGCAATTACTGCATTATTATCAGTAAATGCTTCAATGGAGCTCGGAGCTGAGCGAGCCGACCAGTGCCGGTCTGCTTGAAATGGGAGGATTACCACAGTACTGAGAAGGAGGTGGCTGGGTGAATGACAGGGAGGGACTTTTTGATGATAATTATTAGTTCCGTGTTAGTGATGGGAGCTTTAACATATAATAATATTAGGGGTCTTACTAGAATTTAGAGGTAATGCAGGTACTGAATTTAACTAACTGCCGGGCAGAGGACTGTTCGAGAAGATTCCGTTCTTTGTGGGTGGTCATATTGAATATATATAGGGACCCTAGTGTAATTATTATTTGAACTTTTAAAACGGAGCCAAACCTCGCCCTAACTTTCCGTTGAGGCATCAGGTGGTTTCTCTAGCGGGTGAAATTTTAAGAATCAAACGGCACTCATACTGGTAGAATTTAGGATTCAGACGAAACCTGATATTAAGCATCTTATCAGGCCCTGTTTTTTCTCTGAACTAGCAGTGAGCCGCGCAAACACTAGTATACACGTGCACATTATCAGGTGTAGGTGCTTCTTTCATGTTCCAACTGACGGTAATTACTAATCATAATTTTCAACTTTACGAAAATAGATTAGTAAACAGGAATCTCCAAAAAGAGGATCTAAAAGTTGAATGAAGTGTTATACTTCGCTGAATCATTTCCAACTCAAAGTCTCACAAGACGGGCTCAAGGTTACTGATGTTTTTACTTTAATAACTTGTCGTGCGACGGTAATGAAGACACGGTTTGAAACGTGAGCAGTTTTTGAGTTTGTTATAAAGTTGATTAATGGGATGAGAACCCTTCCCACTTTATGATTGGTGTTTTCTCGCGGGCCCTCATTTATAGAGGCTTGTAAATGAATCTAATCTCATCACGAGATCGCTTAGAAATTCACCATACTACAGAGAGCTTAACTTGAGAGGGAGGAGTTATTATGTAATTTTATAATTAAAACTGCATAAAAGTTGTGAGATGCAGTTTCCAGAGTCATGTTTTTTGCGGAAATTTGATTGCGTTATTTTTAACATTTAACTTACTTTTAAGACATCCAAAAATCGTCCTTTCAAATTAGATCACTGAATATGAATACTATTATTAACTATTTTTCACAAAAATGAAAACCTCGATTAATTTTTTGTTATAGAATTTTTCAATGTTTCCACAATATTGTATGTGTATTGTGTAAGCGAACTGTCATCGCGCTGCTATGATAGGTGCTGTGTACTGTCTACTTCATGCTAGCTTACTTCTTGCAATTGTGACGCTCACAGCTACATACATACATATATAAAAATATACCCCAAACACCGGAAATTTAAAAATTCAATCTTATAGTCAATTGAACTGTCCTTGTGTTTTCACCTAAGTGGTCCAGGGGTGCAGATGGAGTCTAAGAAAGGAATCCAGAAAGTATCAGTGATTCCGCCGAGGAGGTAACAGTAAGGCCCCCACAAATATTTTACAAGAAACTACAAATATTTAATCTCCCTCGCCCTCATGACGTGAGACTAAGAAAGATTTTAAACGATAAGATTCAACAACAAGGTGATATACATATTATCTTGAAAATGTCCTCCTTCACCGGCGCCTGTAAGTGTGTAAGGTATCCTTGTTTCAGTAGATGAGGCTATTTTTTTCTGTGCACTAAAAAACTGTTCGTTAAATAAGTAGAGTTGTTTAAGCCGTTTAAGCTGTTTAAGCTGTGAGCAGTTCAAGTTAGGAGTTACTTAAGTTATTTGACCAACAAACCATTGTAATGACACCATGGCCCGGCGACAAGTTTTAGTTGCCTTGAGAGGTCAATTTTTACCATTTATTTGTAAGATTGTAATTGCATTTCATTGAAGTTAAGTTATTAGATGGTTGAGTTATAATGAGAGCTTTGGTTAAATGAGTAAGCTAATCCTACTACGTACTAGTTAACGTGACAATAGTCTTATTGTTTAATATTTCATAATACAGTAACATCTCATTTCTATTACGCAACCAATAACCATTATTATGCGATAATTATTCAAATTATACCGTTTTAAATGCTCATTAAACTGAAATTAGATAATATTCAGATAATATCCCCTTCTTCACATGATGTCAGAATAGTCTAGATAAAATGTCAGGCACCAACGCTCCGATCAGATTCAGTGAAGCATGTAAGGGGAATATGAGAATATAATGACTCCATAGGGCGTCATAAAACAGTTGGTAATTGAACATTTTAGCTGCTTTTAGAGACATGGGTGCATTGTGTAACATAGGGTTGGAGCAGCAGCGGTTTACTTTGCAAGTCGTTTATTCTCCTAGATGGTTGTGTCTACATTCTATTGGACTTGGAGAGCTTTCATTGGACGTATTATGTAGCACGTGCGACGTGACCAAAAGAAGGATGGAATTTTAATACATTAGTCTTGAATCATCATATTATTCAAAGAATGGAAATGAATGTAGGAAATGAATATAAAATTGTATATTATGATAGTTATGATATTGTTACATGTTCAAAGTAATAAACTTTAATTTAGAAATATTATCCCACCTGTACATTCCAGACCCTGATTGAAGAGACCGTAGAGCAATGAACCGCATTGGTCACAGAAGGCGGGGGAACTATATGTCTTTACTTTGAAACTGTGGGGTTGCGTTGTCTGAAAACATTAAATACGTTAAATAGTAGGTACAGATGGGATTATTGCCATTACGTCCACTGTACACAGTACAAAGTACACAGTACAATGTACTATGTACACAATACAAAGGTACAATGTACTGTGTACTTTGTACTCTGTACACAGTACAAAGTACACAGTACAATGTACACAGTACAATTTACACAGTACAATGTACACAGTACACAGTACACAGTACAATGTACTCTGTACACAGTACAATGTACTCTGTACACAGCACAATGTACTCTGTACACAGTACAATGTACTCTGTACACAGTACATTGTACTCTGTACACAGTACAAAGTACACAGCACAATGTACTCTGTACACAGTACAATGTACTCTGTACTTAGTATAAAGTACACAGCACAATGTACTCTGTACACAGTACAATGTACTCTGTACACAGTACAATGTACTCTGTACACATTACAATGTACTCTGTACACAGTACAATGTACTCTGTACACAGTACAATGTACTCTGTACACAGTACAATGTACTCTGTACACAGTACAATGTACTCTGTACACATTACAATGTACTCTGTACACAGTACAATGTACTCTGTACACAGTACAATGTACTCTGTACACAGTACAATGTACTCTGTACACAGTACAATGTACTCTGTACACAGTACAATGTACTCTGTACACAGTACAATGTACTCTGTACACAGTACAATGTACTCTGTACACAGTACAATGTACTCTGTACACAGTACAATGTACTCTGTACACAGTACAATGTACTCTGTACACAGTACAATGTACTCTGTACACAGTACAATGTACTCTGTACACAGTACAATGTACTCTGTACACAGTACAATGTACTCTGTACACAGTACAATGTACTCTGTACACAGTACACACTACATATTTCACTTCAATTACATATTATTATACGCTTTAAAATGTTGTACAATTACAACCCTTTTACAACTCAGTTTTGAACTGAAATGATGTAATATTAAATACCCTAGAATATTTCTAGATTTAAGTCTGTCTCAGACATGACCCAGTTTTACTAAATCATCAGATTTTCTCATTACATCGCACACGAGATCCATACTTTGATCTGATTGACGTCAAAGAATGGACTGGCAAGACACAAAACAGTTGGAAATGTGCCCGATATTTAGTGGATGAAGAGACCAAACAGATTGGTATTTTTACGCAAGTCACTAATTATCGAGAGCAAAACATTCCGATTCTTTTAATATCCAACTAGATAAATTTCCTCATTAACATAACCGTTGTGATTTAGCAGCCACTCCCCTTGACAATTTCTGATAGCGAAGGCGGACAAAGAGGCTGTAACTCAAAAGCAAAAGTCAATCCAACCAGTGAGCTAAGGTAATGTTATTGTTTTGAAATGCTACTCTTGATTACTCCGTACTATGTATGCATGTTATTGAGAAAGCCTGTAATACGTATAGGCTGTTTATTGGCATGCAGCTTTAAACTTAGTAATTGACAGATAGCTTACTTAGCATGCATATATGACAGACGTGCAGATTAATCGAATATGAAGCAGTTTATCAGGATAGTGGTCAAGATTGCAGCTGAGTTGTCAGAATTGTGGTAAGGATTCTGAATAGATATTAGATTCTGAGGAAAATAGCAAGGATTGTGGCTGAGTTCTCAGAATTTTGGATTGTGGTAAGATCATTTCCCTGGATGTAGGTCTGAGATAAGCCATATAGGGATTAAATGCAGTTAACAGAGTTGAAAGAAAAACGACACGATATTTTCTAACGAGCTCCAATGTTGGTCACAGAGCTGCTAAATTTAGTACAATGGCAGTATAATATAAGATCTTCTGCTAACTATCTGAATAAAATACAATGATAATTCCCTTGACGGTATTCAAACGTCTCAGAACTATATTTCAATTATTAGCAGCTGAAAATTAGACACTGTCAACATTGATCAATCAGTAGATATTCAACATATTCAACATACACATTGGTCGCTGGTATATGAAGCGATCTCCCATCTCCATACTGAGTAACCTTCAATCCTACCTGTGTCTATTTGCTGCCGATAATTGGTCACTAATAGTTTGTCACGTTCGATCTGGTAAGGGTCTCGGTTTTGGTTGACCTCATAATGGGTCTATAATAGGCCAAACACTGACCGCCAGGCCATAGCCGGCCAGAAACCACTATACAGCCGGACAGGAAACCTTAGAGAACTACCTATTTAAAGTGAGTTGAGAACCTTTGAACGGCCGCTCTAAACATCTTTAGAGCCAGTCAAGTTAAGAACCGGGAACTGATGTCTGATATACACTGAATTAGCCAATCAAGAGCCGGCGGGGAACCCCCATCAGCTAGTAGCCGGCATTCAAATAATAGTTAACCTGAGCACACACCCCACCGGTTGAGAAGCGTGGTGTTAGTGGTGTTTGGTTGGGAAGCAGTGTGGTGTTTCAACAAGTGTGGGAATCTGCCATTAATCTGAAGTTTTCCAAAAATGTAACGGCTCTGTGCTACCATCTTCCAGACTGTATTCTGGCAGCTGTTAAAATACAACCAGTTAACTGCAAACTTTTTATTATGTGTTTTTAACAGGCTGTTGAAGGTTTATTGAGTTCTGACATCAAATTCCGTGTATCAAATACCAGTCCTAGTCCGTGTATCAAATACTAGTCCGTGTATCAAATACCATGCCAAAGAACTATGTCCAGTGTCCACTATACAAAACAGGCAGCCATATTTTAACATACACACGTTACTTAATTTTGTAAGTAGAAGTTTAAACCACTCAATGGAGTGTACCTCAACACAATTCTCACAGCATGTAGTTCAGTTCATGCTCTGAACAGAAGGAAACAAATTCACCGGTCATACCAAATCAAGTGCATGCCATGTTGCCATGTACTGTCTCGAAATACAATTAACATTTTACCTATTTTAATTTAATGTTCGTAAAAATACAAATCAGTTGAAGTTCTTTCAACTAGTTTTTTCCTCAACGCTCAGTCATGTACAGAAAACATATTGTGAATACCTACGAATTATCAGAAAATACCGGTCAATAGTCTCGGACTAGAAGACTATTCTCTACACAGAGTGATTTTCAGGACGTATCACTCTACTTGATATGCACTTAGCTTCAAACTACTTGAGAAAAACTGGATTATCTAATTTGCACGTTTAGAGTTTCGGTCCACTGAGTTTACATTACAAGTACAGTAACTATATATAGTCTATTGTTCACAGTCTACTGCTAAGTAGAGGGAGCCGACACCTTAGTGTTGGCTCTCGCTAAAGTTCCAACTAAAGAATGTATAAAATTTCAAATATTTGTAAACTGTGACTAAATACTAAATAGGGAGACTGTGATCAGGTACCTAAGTCATTATAATATATATGCACAATAAATGTTTAGGTATTATATTAGCTGAGTTCATTTATGGGAACTATACGTGATACATATCCGATATAATGAAAATGTTGAGAAGTAGCGGACTCCTCTCTACCAGGTGGAGGTTGCCCAGGTGGTGTTCTTTTATTTCACTATTTTAATACGAGAACCGCTGCTCTAATAGATATCTGTTGTGATGCGAAACTTGGGGAGGTCATATTGCCCAAATAGAGGGTATATTTAATGAGGCAATATGCAGCAGAAGAAGTCTGCAGAAATTATCTTAGAACCTTCAATTTAGAGGTTGATCGCATTCTAAGCTCTCTCCCCGCAATTAAAACTAATTCTAGGGTAGGTTTGGGTAGAATTATTATGCAATTGTTGCGCTAATGGAACGAATTTTGCAGTTTAAAGCTGCGCAAGTTAACGCTCTCTTTCTCTGCAACTTAAATTAATGTAATGGTAACGTTGAAGGAGCGTATTTTGCAGTTTAACTAAATTCAGTTTAAGAACATTTTCTGTGCATTTCAGATTATATTATGTAAAAGGGGGATCAATTTTAAAGGGAGCTTCTTGCCAGTAATATGATTGGATATGACAGTGTAGGTATTGATAAGATTTCTCCATAAAACAATTTGATAAACACGAGCCCTACCAAGCGTGAGGGATACAGATAAAGCTCATTTGCAGATTGTCACTCAAAGATCACATTGACAACTGTAAGTTCGCTGATTGGATATTATGACCTTGCTGGAAGATAATATTATGACAACTACCACTTCAACAACTGCTGACCGACTAAAATATACGATATTATCAGGTTTAAAACGGGATACCTTTATGATCATGGCGTAAGATATATCGAGGTATATACTATATAATTATATATAATGTGATTTTTTGCAACGAAAGCGATTTATGGTGATGATGTGCGTCATTTTACTTTATAAATGTTACGTAAAGCGAAACAAACCAAGGCAATCAAGACCACATTTCAGATACGTGACGTGGAGAATCATTTATACCTTAAAACTGCACAACAAGGACAACAGTGTCGATATAATTATATCCTAGGAGAAGAGTTTATAATGTAGAACGCCGGACTTCAACCTTGAGTTTTAAGACCAAAGTCTCCCGGTGAAATTTAGATGCTATCATTATTTAATGTTTAATGGTAACCATGGTAACCATGGTTATAATGATAAAACTCACCTCACAATCTACTTTATCAGATCCAGGACAAGCAAAGCTGACCAACTCGTGGCACCGTTTGTGCACTACGAATGAGCATACTGAAATAGAAGAACGGTTAGACACAACCAAACTGACAAACATACACACTGACAAACATACAAATAAAGATAATATAGTTTATCAGACAGAGAAAGCTGTTATTTCCGAACACCAACATTTTCAAAGTTAATTGCAATAATTATTTTACAGCCATGATTATTCTTTTCAAGGCTCTACTCTTGACACTCGTTTGTAAGCCAAAATCACACAAACAACCCTATATAATGTATAATATGTATATTAACTTAACATCTGCGTCATACAGACAGCGAAGTATACGTTATCAGGGTTATTAACCCTGACACGTCAAATACTCCGCATGTTTTGCAGTAGTACCCTACAAACTACCAGTTGTATGGGGTGCTAATTTACAGCTCAAATAAAGGTAGCATTAGTAGGGCTGTGAATCTGCTTTAAACTGGGAGCATGGCTTGTTTAATGTTAATATGTGAAACTAGGCAGTAAAGACTCTTCAACCCTGTCTAATTGTTCTTTTCTCAGTTCTTTACATATATTCATAGTACCAGGTCCAGAAATAAGTTTGGGAAGTCTTACTATAAGACTAGACTGTGTACACGGCGTATTTAACTGTGTTACATGTAAGAGAGAGAGAGAGAGAGAGAAGACAGTAAAGAAACCTCGTGCAGTGGTTGGTAATTCCAGGAAAAGTTTTCAGTTTTAGAACACAGCAATACGGTAGTTTAACAGTTACTCTGGTTGGAGTACGTATACGTGGGGGGTTTGTATGAGTTATGTGTATTGTGAAACACTATGAAGACGGTACTGATCCAGTCAATCTCTTGTGTGGAGTCACAAAAGCAGCGGTACCGTTGGAAAGTATGATTTACATTTAATAACATATTGTGTTTATTAAAACTAAAATGTGTGTCTGGAATTACACAGTGTATTGTCTGACCTACAACCTCTAACTCTAACAGTGCACTGTACTTGTACACACTGTGTAGCTGTAAACCACACAGACACTAAACACATCCCTATATATTAACTTAATAATACAGGTACGTTGCAGTGGAAACGCTACAAGTTGGAAGCTATATGAGGTGTTCATTGTTCCCGCTGTTTATTATATATGTGTAGTAAAATTGTTATATTCTCGGGACTCTTCCAGTCTGGTAAAGAGAGGATTAGTACAAGAAGGAAGATTTAGAGAGTGAAAGTGAAAGTGAAAGGGAAATATAATGCTCATACATGCCGATACAATGGCTCACCCAGGCAGTGGATTCATCATTTAACATTCAGCATGGTCACATACTTAAATACAGTGAGACGAGTAAGATTGTAGTAGTATTCTTATTATAATTTCTGATAATATAATACATGTATTATAAGCTCTCCATTCGCTCCCTTTATAAATGATTATTAATTATGGTCCTGCACAATGAATCAGCTGGATCTCTCTTTTGTGAGTTTGAGCTACAGTGACTTTGGATTGTCGCTCTATCGGTACACTCATTTTAAATTCAGTGCACAGAGGTAGATCATTGTAATAGAGTCGGCGATCACAATAAATATTTCCTTGCTTACCTCTAAAGAAAGAAACCAATGGCTACGCCATTATAAGTGCAATTGTATTTCTCTATCTATACTTGTACTGCAAATCTATTGTAGTAGTACTGTTGTATTACTTTATTTGATACGATTAACAATGATCACGTGATATATCTAGAGATATCACGTGGTATATTGTGTGATATCACGTGGTATATTGTGTGATATCACGTGGTATATTGTGTGATATCTAGATCTACAAGTGTCTGGAGCACCCACAAATAGCCGGTAATAACTTGGGTTATTGACAGTAAAGTGGTATATCTTGATAAGAGCAATGCTGGTATTACAAAAATGTAATGTTGTTGCTCTCACCGTGAATAATCAGCTGTGTATAACACAGTGCTGTGTATAATTTATCTGGGAGTTCCCCAGCATTTGTACACCAATTTATCATACAATTGATCAGTTTCCCAGTTTGTATGCGTAAATAATTAGTTTATACATATTATCACTCTATTCCATGTTATATAACTGGTGTGCAGCATGTAGCACTACATTAATATTATATGAGAGACTACGAAGCCAGGTTCAGTGAGCGTACTGTGTAAGTGGTCACTTCCTAGAGCATAATAATGTCACGTGACTTTATACACACACTCATAAAGGTGGCGGGGAGCGATTAAACGCCTTTATTTAAGCTGTTCAACACAATAACAGATCGATTACAGATCAATTACAGATCAATAACATATCAATAACACATTATGTTATATATAATACTGCAACATATATTTCCACATTTTTATGGCACTCTGTAGTCTGTACTCTATTAGTTTTACAGATCTCTATGTATACTACTACTACACACAATTCCACTATATTATTGTCCATAGAGTATTTTACACCTCATGAAACTCAATTTCATGCCATGACATGGACATGTAGTACATATAATATACACAGAGTATATTGTTATAGAGTTCACACAGATCACACAGTTCACACAGTTCACACAGATTGCACAGTTCAGACACAGACCAATATTATATTATGTATTAGTTCGATAAATAATAATATAAGTAACGTGTGAAATCTCGAACGTTACTCATATTTTTACTTATCAGTTATCCACAGTCCACATCATGAGCTAAGTGTTAGTGTGGAAGGATGTGTATTTTAAATTCAACGGAAAACTATTATTAATGTAAGAAAATTTGTTCCTTCCAAAACATTCATTTTTGTTCATTTTCAAAATATAGACCTTTATCTAACAGAATTATCAATTCTTTAGCATTTAGTAGCAATTTTCAATTTTCACTTACAGATGTAACACTTATAGCCAAAGATTATTAGCCAAAAATGCCCATATATAGAATATAGATGAACATTGAACGTACCTATAATTGTTATTTTGTACTTACCCAGAAATCTCGAACATGCTCGAGCACAGCTATAATACGTGTAAATTGTAAAATTAGTGGCACCAGCTATAAGCACAAGTATGTGAAGTATGCAGTCATGTCCACCTACTCCACAACTACAGTTACTATAATATAAATATCAATAATACTAGATTCCAGTAAACGTCTAGAGTTCTAGAGTTCTACAGCATTCCTGCAATATATCTCATCACGTCCCAAGGGGGTCCTAAACTGGGGTGGCTACTAGGCGTCCTGACTTTATATTTACCTGGTGCACATTTATATAATTTAATTTGTGTGACACCGGGTAACCGGGAGCAATAATATCATGCTATTATTACCATATTTTATTATTACATGATACAGGGTCAGGTGTTTGCTATGACCATTGACCACGGATATTTTTTAATGATTTTGTACAATTTCATTTCAGTGTGGTCATGTGTTATCTTACACATAACAGTACACACTCATTTCATACTGATTTACTTGGTATCAGAGTTCTATAATAAAGCACGTGATCACATCTTTGAATTACTGCTTGTAAATTATTCTCAATATTATGGGGCGTCGCGGTATAAAACGCGATAAACCAACTATCAAGTTATACAGCATAATATTCATTATGTTAGTATTCGATTTAATTAATAAAAATGATATAAAGTAAACATTTACTTATTTGCATTAAAGTTTATGGTAGGTTGAAAATCTAACAACTTAACCAAAGCATTAGAAGCTAAGTTTGTGATTTATCATTTTTACATTAGAAGCGAAGTTTGTAATTTATCATTTTAACAACATTTACTGTTTAATAGGCTTCAGACATATCATTGCATACATTATTATACACCCTTAACCAAGTAGTAATAGTACTACAACAGTAGGCGGGCAGAAATATGTGCATACAAACAATAAACATACCTTATTTATAATGTTAGTCATTGTTGAAACTAACTATTTGCTCCTTATACAAGTAAACTAAATAGCAACTCATTACTTATCTTAACTTTTATTTATCATTACAATATGGTATATTAAGCAATATATACTCATCAGACAGAGCATGCTTCTAGTTAAACTCTGCCAGCCAATGAGCCTTCTATTTTCTTTGATTATCTACTAAGATTGCACGTGGTGTAACCATATTATGATTTGTCCTATTTCGGTACTTCCAGTACTGTACCAGTACTGTACCGGTACTGTTCCAGTCGCCTGTAATCTCCCTACAGGATATTTTAACTTGCTTGATCTACAGAGCACCAACTTAAAGAGAGTTTGTAGTTAGACGACTAATTTTACTCTTGTATTACTATTTATAAATTAGTGGAGTTATGATTCTGTTTAAGGAACCCCAATCAAATAGTACTACACAAGTCAAGTAATAAGTATCCAGATATCAGTGCCAGTGTTGCTGTTATGTTTACTGATTAGTGGAATCTACCAAGCAATAACTGACAGAATACTTCAAGAATACTGTTCATTACAATTGTTACGTGTAGGTATAATAATACAACATTGGATAATAGCATAAATAACACAGCGGTTAAGGGGGCAGGGGGCCGGTCTTCATGGAAATTTTCTCAAAATCGACTTTTAAGTTGTTTCTGATCTAGCGCGTGTGTGTAATTGTATTGCGCGAGCGATTTTTGATCGCGTGCCCTGAAAATCGAGTCTAAAATCTATCTTCTCCTACATTTTTTGAGCAATCACCCTGAAACTTTCAGGATATGTTCTAGAAATCATTTAGAAGAGATGAGCTGGGCAGAATTTTGAGATTTATTCGATTTTGAAAATCGTGGACCTCGAAAAATCATCAAAAAACGAGGTCCACGATTTTCAAAATCGAATGAAAATTTTTAAAGGCCTATCTCACAATTCTGCCCGGCTCATCTCTTCTAAATGATCTCTAGAACATATCCTGAAAGTATCAGGAGATTGCTCAAAAAATGTAGGAGAAGATAGATTTTTAGACTCGATTTTCAGGGCAGGCGATCAAAAATCGCTCGCGCAATACAATTACACACACGCGCTGACCTTTGACAGGCAATAATTTCGGCTAGGAACGA